TAGAATTTGATGCGATCATATCTTGCTCTATTTTGTGTCGTTGAAATTGTTTAATATCTCGTTGGAAAGATCTTACCGAGATCTAAAACTTGTTTTCAGGCGCTGGTTTCAGAATATCAAGGGATGATTGCCTAATTACTAAAATACACTGTATTTACGCTAAAAGTGCTCTATTTTCGCTGAAAACGCTAAATCATAGATATAAGGCTAAGTATTTGTGACACTCATATCTTGTTGTGTGTTTATCCGTTTGGAGCGTATTATATCTTGTTGAAAAGATAGATCGGAGCTCTAAAGCTATTGTTCCAACTTCATTTAAAATGCATTAATTAAAAGTTACAGATTAACCATATATTCACAAATGTTTCTGATTTCACTCCGAACTCGTGTAGATTTGATGCGATCATATCTTGCTCTATTTTGTGCCATTGAAAGCGTTTTATATCTCGTTGGAAAGATCTTACCATTTTCTAAAACTTGTCTTCAGGCGCTGGTTTCAAAATATCAAGGGATGATTGCCCAATTACTAAAATACACTGTATTTACGCTAAAAGTGCTCTATTTTGTCTGAAAACGCTAAATCATAGAGATAAGGCTAAGTATTTGTGACACTCATATCTTGCTGTGTGTTTATCCGTTTGGATCGTATTATATCTCGTTGGAAAGATAGATCTGAGCTCTAAAGCTATTGTTCAAACTTCATTTACAATGCATTAATTAAAAGTTACATATTAACCATATATTCACAAATGTTTCTGATTTCACTCCGAGCTCGTGTAGAATTTGATGTGATCATATCTTGCTCTATTTTGTGCCGTTGAAAACGTCTAATATTTCGTTGGAAAGATCATACCTAGTTCTAAAACTTGTCTTCAGGCGCTGGTTTTAAAATATCAAGGGATGATTGCCTAATTACTAAAATACACTGTATTTACGCTAAAAGTGCTCTATTTTCGCTGAAAACGCTAAATCATAGAGATAAGGCTAAATATTTGTGACAATCATATCTTGCTGTGTGTTTATCCGTTTGGAGCGTATTATTACTCGTTGGAAAGATAGATCGGAGCTCTAAAGCTATTGTTCCAACTTCATTTACAATGGATTAATTAAAAGTTACAGATTAACCATATATTCACAAATGTTTCTGATTTCACTCCGAACTCGTGTAGATTTGATGCGATCATATCTTGCTCTATTTTGTGCCGTTGAAAGCGTTTAATATCTCGTTGGAAAGATCTTACCATGTTCTAAAACTTGTCTTCAGGCGCTGGTTTCAATATATCAAGGGATGATTGCCTAATTACTAAAATACACTGTATTTACGCTAAAAGTGCTCTATTTTCTTTGAAAACGCTAAATCATAGAGATAAGGCTAAGTATTTGTGACACTCATATCTTGCTGTGTGTTTATCCTTCGTAGCGTATTATATCTTGTTTGAAGGATAGATCGGAGCTATAAATTTATTGTTCGAACTTCATTTACAATGCATTAGTTAAAAGTTACAGATTAACCATATATTCACAAATGTTTCTGATTTCACTCCGAACTCGTGTAAAATTAAATGCGATCATATATTGCTCTATTTTGTGCTGTTGAAAGCGTTTAATATATTGTCGGAAAGATCTTACCGAGTTCTAAACCTTGTCTTCTGGCGCTGGTTTCAAAATATCAATGGATGATTCCCTAATTACTAAAATACACTGTATTTACACTAAAAGTGCTCTATTTTCGCTTAAAACGCTAAATCATAGAGATAAGGCTAAGTATTTGTGACACTCATATCTTGCTGTGTGTTTATCCGTTTGGAGCGTATTATATCTCGTTGGAAAGATAGATCGGAGCTCTAAAGCAATTGTTCCAACTTCATTTACAATGCATTAATTAAAAGTTACAGATTAACCATATATTCACAAATGTTTGTGATTTCACTCCGAACTCGTGTAGATTTGATACGATCATATCTTGCTCTATTTTGTGCCGTTGAAAGCGTTAAATATCTTGTTGGAAAGATCTTACCATTTTCTAAAACTTGTCTTCAGGCGCTGGTTTCAAAATATCAAGGGATGATTGCCTAATTACTAAAATACACTGTATTTACGCTAAAAGTGCTCTATTTTCGCTGAAAACGCTAAATCATAGAGATACGGCTAAGTATTTGTGACACTCATATCTTGCTGTGTGTTTATCCGTTTGGAGCGTATTATATCTCGTTGGAAAGATAGATCGGAGCTCTAAAACTATTGTTCCAACTTCATTTACAATGCATTAGTTAAAAGTTACATATTATCCATATATTCACAATTGTTTCTGATTTCACTCCGAACTCGTGTAGAATTTGATGCGATCACATCTTGCTCTTTGTTGTGCCATTGAAAGCGTTTAATATCTCGTTTGAAAGATCATACCGAGTTCTAAAACTTGTCTTCAGGCTCTGGTTTCAAACAATCAAGGGATTATTGCCTAATTACTAAAATACACTGTATTTACGCTAAAATTGCT